ATCTATCTATCTATCTATCTATCTATCTATCTATCTATCTATCTATCTATCTATCTATCTATCTATCTATCTATCTATCATTTTCCAGAATATTTAAATCTAATAATCATATTAACCTCTTTTTTCAATATTTTTCTGGATAGCTCCTCTCCTCACTGCCTAACCTCCAACGTCACTGAAGCCCAAAGGAGAAAAGTCTAAATAAGACAGAAACAAGCTACAGGATAAAAAATATATATTCTGGATTTGTTTCTTTTTTTTAGGTCAGTTCTTGCAAAGCAGACAAAGCAGCAAGCCAAGAGTTGAAGCCTAAAGACACAGACAGGAACAGGAAATGCAGGGTTTTTTCGCACCCCAAATCCGAACGGGAAAGGAAAGAGAAAAGAATTGGGGGGTGCAGGGGAAGGCGGATAGTACCTTACAATCGTATCTTTGCTTCAGTTGATGCATCTCTCTGCCCCCGACTTTCAAAGCCAGGATCTCCCTCTTAGTCCTGGAGCATCTCTCTTTTAGCCTGTGAAGGTCGGGAGAAAGCTGCCACCCCCAAAAAACACGAGCGCCAACGGAGAGGAGAGGGAAAGGAAGAGAGACAGGCACAGAAATCGCAGTGAGCAGCCAGAAACTCAGCAAAGACGGGGAGACATCACAAAGCAGCGGGTGGCTGGCTGGCAGGCAGCAGCAACAGCAGCAGAGTTAGAGCGTCCCTATGACCCCCCCCCCAAGTTGCCCCCCAAATTGGATCTGGGAGGTGAATTCAAACATCTCCAACCGAGAGAAATTAAGACTCAAGATGCCATCAAGAGAAAGACCTGACTTCTCTAAGGCAGAGGGGTCCAATCTTGGCCACTTTTAAGACTTGTGGACTTCAACTCCCAGGATTCCGCGCTGGCTGGGGAATTCTGGGAGTTGAAGTCCACAAGTCTTAAAGCGGTCACGGTTGGATGGCGATCTCTGCTCTGAGGGACCGATAGGCTGTAGCCCCCACAAAGATGTTGCTTCCCCTTCCAATCTCCGATTACCTTCGGCTGGAAGGAAACTTTGGGTTTGGCCTGGACCACATCGGCCTTGCTTTCGTCCGCCGAATCGTCGCTGTAGCTTTCGAATTCGCTGGAGCTCCAGCCTAGATCATCGGGCTCATGGGAGGTGGGCTTGGCCTGAGGGACATCTTCATAAATTAAGCTTCTCTCCGAATCTGAAAGAGGGAGAGGGGACGGTCAGCCCGGCATGGTTGGAGAAAAGGGGATCCCAGCATCAAGAGGAGAAGAAATAATAAGAACAAGAAGATGAAACGGAAGGACAGACGTCAGTGGCACAGGATGAATTTAAAAAGAAAAAAGAAAGAAAGAAAAGTGGAATTAAGAGGAAAAAAATCAGATTATTACCCATGTACAGGTAGTCCTTGATTTACAGCCATTCATTTAGTGACCGAAGTTACAACAGCGCTGAAATAAATGACTTATGACCGTTTTTCACAATTACAATCTCCAGAATCAAAATTCAAACGCTTGGCAACTGACTCGTATTTATGACGGTCGCCGTGTCCCGGGGGTGTGTGTGTGTCATGTGATCGTGACCTTCAGACAAGCAAAGTCAATGGGGAAGCCGGATTCGCTTAGCAACCGTGTTAATAGCCACTGCAGCAATTCGCTTAACAACGATGGCAAGGTTGTAAAATGAGGCAAAACCCACTTGGCAACTGTCTTGGGCTCAATTGTGGTCATAAGGAGGAGGATTTCGCTCAATATCTGCATGACAAAGTCGCGCGGATCCGAGAAGGCTTGGACTCCGACTGGTCGGCCCAGGGGGAGGAGACAGAAGCAGGCCTTGAGACGGTTGAATGGGAGGAGTTTGACTCTGTTTCGCCCGAGGACGTGGACAGGGTCCTGGGGAGGCTCAATGCAACCACATGTTTGTTGGATCCATGTC